TCCAGTCTACTTCGTAATTTTGTTTTAGTCGCCGTTGCTGCAGAAAACCCCCTCCTCACACAGGTAGCATGTTGGAAATAGCAACAGTGCTACTGTGGCGATCTCAGAATATTCAGCCATAACTTTAATCCAGTTGTCTCGAACGTACTTGTAAGGCCGCCGTCATTTGCGCTCTCCAGCAGTTTTATTACTCATTTTGCGAGCTCTGGCGTTTTGTTTTCAGCGTAATCGGTCACGTGACGGAGAAGCGTGGCTTGACGTGTGTCAAGCGTGACACAGACGGATGTAACGGAGAATCCGGTAATTTTTCAAAATAAAACATCTTTCTTATTCCGAAATAAATAAAACGGAATTAAGGCAAGTTCTTTCTGTGCAGCCCGGTACCAAATGCCCTGCGGACCGGCGGTTGGGGACCCCTGCTGTAGCAGACCTTCCACAGGTCGATGGAGGAGCGACAGGATGGTCCATAATAGTATGGCCCGGACATCGGCCCTGTTGACCCTCATAATGGGGTGCAAAGTGAGTGGAGATGGTACGGGGCCTGGTCTGAGAGCCGAACAGGTAGGACGCTGTGACAATGGAATTGAAACAGTTGTAAAACGATTGAGGGCTTAAAATGAGGTGGATTGGGGATTGGGGTGTAAGGATTGTCGTACGAAGACAGTAATTTCAAATGAAGACAGTAAACAGTCAATCGTAAAAGACACTAAAAGTTGCGGGTGAGCAGTGGCAGCCAGACGCGCCAGCGTTCACTCAGCTTCTACGGCAGGGGTTGGGAACCTATGGCTCGCGCGAGCCAGGTGTGGCTCTTTTAATGATTGTATCTGGCTTGCAGATAAAACAAAATCATACCTGTCAACTCATATGGTTTAGCCATAGTTCATACGGATTTTGTGGTGAATCTTACGTATATGGCCGTATCGCACAAATCATACGGATTCTGAAAATTTCCATTTTTTTTTTTTTTTTTTTTCCCTAACAGGTAGTTCCGTTTGCTTTTGCCCAGAATGGTGCTAGTCTACTCGAATGCTTTCATTTCCGGTAACTTTCCAGTAAGTCACGTGGTTCCTAGTTGAAAACAGCAGAGTATTCATTGCATTGTACGATTTGTGCGATATGGCCATATACGTAAGATTCACCACAAAATCCGTATGAACTATGGCTAAACCGTATGAGTTGACAGGTATGGGCAGGAGGCGCAGTTTTCGACAAAACCACTCCGTGTGCGCTTACCAACTGACACCTGACCTCTGCAGCCTCTGCCGGCTTTTTATTGCTCGTGTTTGCAAATTACAAGTGATATATCAGAAAAACACCCCCTTCTTCATTTACATGTCATGCCTCTCAGTCCAGCCCACCGATATGCCCCTCAGAGGCCAAAACGTCTCTCGGTACAAACAATGGATACCTTGTTATTTCAATGGGTAGATTTCACAAACTTAAGACATCATGCTGCCCTCCCGAAGTTGAACCTTCCTGCTGACATTATCAGTTAATGAGGACTTGGCTTTATTCAGCTGAAGTTGGCCCTTTTTTTCTGTGTGCTCCATTGTGTACAAGTTGTGAGAACATACCGTTCGAGGTCAATCAAGCAGAAACTGAAATGAAACTTTAAAACATGATAATATTAAGATTTGTCTTTCTCCATCAGCGACTCAACAAGCTGTCATTTCACACTCTGAAAATGGAGGATTTCGGTCAATCAAGCATATACTGAAATGAAACTTTAAAACATGATAATATTAAGTTCGTCTTTCTCCATCAGCGACTCAACAAGCTGTCATTTCACACCCTGAAAATGGAGGATTTCATTTCCAAACTCAGACATTTTTCAAAGCTGGGCTTTCAAACAAAGCAGGAAATCATAAATATTGGGAGACCAACGTCAGAACAAGCAGGTTTGTGTATACCATTGCGTTTGAAAAGACGGTAAACTACTCGTTCTTTTCAGACCTAGCCAGGTCGGCCAACACGCTGTGGTCCGCGGATCGGCCATTGTTTCTGCGTGGCCGGCGGGAGGATGACCAGAAGGAGGTGATGCCCTTGGATCTATCGAGGTGGAAGCCCCAACGAGACCCACGGTGGATATATTTCCGGGAGGGACGAAAAGCGATGTCCAGGAAGCGGTGCAGCTCAGTATCGCTGTTACGAGGAGCATTAGCCGACCTAGCCAGGTCGGCCAACACGCTGTGGTCCGCGGATTGGCCGTTGTTTCTGGTTTCCTACCACATTCCAAAAACATGCATGGCAGGCTGATTGAACACTCTAAAATTGTCCCAAGGTATGAGTGTGAGCGCGGTTGGTTCTTCGTCTCTGTGTGCGCTGTGATTGGCTGGCAACCGATTCAGGGTGTTCCCCCACCCCTCCTGCCCGAAGACAGCTGGCATAGGCTCCAGCACCCCCTGCGACCTTTGTGAGGAGAAAGTGGATCAGAAAATGAATGAATGAATAATTTCACTCTGTACTATTTTTGTCAGTCTTATTGTCAGACTTCCCTCATTAATTTTCGATAAATTGACAGTTAATCGCACACCATCAGACCTGCCATATCGAATCCTTTGAGTTACTTTGGCTCAAAATTGTAGTGAAGTGAGTCCTTGCAATCATACTAATGATAGTTAAATTTACCCAGGTCTTACCATCCATTCATTTTCTGATCCGCTCATCCTCACATGGGTGTGCTGGAGCCTATGGTCTTACCAAACGGTATGAATCATTTAGAAAGTAGAGCTGCTGTGAAAAGGGCAAAATCAGATTGATTTCTTATTTCTGCTAAGGGTTGTTCAACGGAGAAATTAACTGATTTTAGATAGAGGCTGGTGCTCAAGAAAAAAAAAAGGATTCAGAACTTGGGTGTGTCTTCTTTCAGGAACCTGCTTAAAGAACCTTTGTCCTCTTCCAATTTTCACGTTACATTACTGTAGAGTAGGGAAACGGGAAGTTTTAACCCTTTGAAACGGAGAGCTGATCAGGGGCTATTTTTGTCCCTGGGGTAAGCAAGATTTGACAACACATACTGTCTAGTACTTTGAATCGAATGTTTTCATAAAAAACAGCCAGAGTTATTCATTAATTATCATAACTAACTTTTGCAAATCTGGTTGAGAAAAAAAGAGGTCTTCTACTTGCTTGTAACAAAGAATGTTCGTCGACACTGGGGTGAAATTCATTTGCTTTGAGATAATGAAACTGTATTGCTCCAATTTTCTGATTCATTTATGTACCCTATTCTTTTCTTTTGGCCACGCAACTGTTTGCCTGAATGTTAACAGTACATCGTCATACAGCGCCGAAGAATTTCATCCAATAACTTGATAATAATAACAGTTCTGTCCTGGGCTGCTCCCTAGACACTCTGGAGGAGGTGGGCAACAGGAGGATGCTAGCTAAGCTAAAAGCTATGATGGACAGTCCCTCCCACCCCCTCCAGCCCGCCCTGACAGCACAAGGTAGCTCCTTCAGCCAGAGACTGTTACACCCGCGCTGCAAGAAGGAGAGATACCGCCGCTCGTTCCTACCGACTGCTGTCAGGCTGCTGAATAAAAAAAAAAAAATGATGTGGAAAAGCAATTGTAAATAGCACAGCCACCTAATCTATATCTATATTTATATTGCACTTAATTGAACGGTGTACTTTGAAACTGTAACATTTATTTTGTGAATGCAAACACTTTGTTTTTCTTCTTTCTACCCACAATCTTGCTGCTGTAGAGTGTACATTTCCCCCAGGACAAATAAAGGATATCTTATCTTATTATAAGAATGGCAAAGGGCAGTTAACAGGGCATCAAAAATGAATTACAATGGCTGACTGGCGACTCTGCATTGTGTGCACACGGTTCTAGATCAATTTCACTGAGGGAGTCTAACTGGGGCCAGGGGTTTTGATAGAGGGGCATATTCAACCCAGGGCAAAAAAGACAACGATTCGAAAGCTTATTTGACTTTTTATTTTCATCAAACTTTTAAACCTTTGCAGACATAACATTACAGTGACGATGAAAAACAGTATAATAATCACAGTAGTGCTGAATTAACTGCTGATAAAAGATTCATATAGGTGCAATCTTGTGGAACAGTCTTAAGATGCCCCTACTATTTACAGCAACTGTATTCTGCAATTTTGGTGATTCCTGGCAACCCGCCCAAAGTGATTCAAGATTCAATGTGACCTCCTAGACTCAATGCAAAGTACACCAAGATTGCTTAATCTATCATCATTCATAGTGGACATGAGGTATATTTTCCCAAGATTTAATCTGGAAAAACTCCATTCTGCATTGGCGGGTCTTCTTTACATTTGCTGATGTCTATGGAGAGAGACAAATAGAATAGATGTAAACAGAATTTTTACATGGACACAGCATATACACTAACCTGCTACACTTACACTGTTTCGGCACTCAGACACACATAATTGTCTAAAATGTATTCATAAATGCTATTCATTAATTTAATTAATTTATTTATTTATTGTATTCAGTAAATATAAATCAATACATTCTAAAGCCTGACCAGGAACTAAAATTGCAAACACAGTGAAGCTAGATGTTTTACATACATTTAATGGTTCCAATTTTAAAAGGCAATTTCTTATATATTGTTCCTGTTAAATAAACATAAATAAATAAAAAGGGATATAAAAAAAAGTTAAACACCTGCGGTCGTACACACGCACACAGTCTCTGTTTCCTCATTCTCAGGATCTTCATCTGTCTCTCTTTGCTGCTCAGTGTCCTCTCTGAAAATAAGTGTCTCCCGTGTCCTCTGACTCTCCCTCTCTGGAGCTCTCAACTTGCTCCTCTTTAGTCTCTTATCACCACCATCATCTGGCACTGTCTCAGTGTCTGAATCATTTAGTTTCTTTTTCATATAGAAATAGGATGGGATGGAATGCCCTTTTTTTCTCTTCATTTTTAACAGTGAAGAGGAATTACACTTCAACCCTCCTGTTACGGGCTTGCTTGGTTTTGTGTTGTGATCTTACATTGACAATATAATATCACTCGTCGTGGTAATCTTGGAACTGCTTTTCTGGGGGCTGCTACTCACCTTCGCGCTCATCTTTGTTTAGTGGTGCATCGTAGTGATGTACTCCACGGGTCGAATCCCTGAAACCAGTGCCGAGTAGTGATGTGTCGTTCGCGAACGAACCGGCTCTTAGAGCCGGCTCTTTGAAGTGAACGACGGGAGCCGGCTCCTAATAGGGAGCCGCTCTTAATAGGAGCCGACTTTTTTTTTTCTCCTGTTTTTTCCGCCCCATTCGGATAAAGCCGCACGTGATTGGTCAAGCAGGGGTAAAGATCACAAAAAGACAGGCTGGCGTTTGATTTAAAAATCGT